ACTGGTGGCTCTCCTATGGTGTTTGTAGAAACTCAGGATTCCGGGTTCTCAGGCTCCTCGGGGAGTGTGCCTAAGAGCATCTGTATGTAGAGAGAGGCACTAGCTATATTATTGTAGAAGCAAAGTTCTCACTATATGTTTGTCTTCGCCATTATAGGTGACTTGGACATAGGAGTTTCTAGAAACACACAATTCTCAACCCCCAAAAGAAAAGAAAACAAAAAGAGAGAGCACTAAACACACTACATACCTTCATAGAGAGAGACAAAGCGAACAAAAGTTACAATGAAAGTGAATATATGCCTAAGCATGGCTAGCAATAGTCTGGGGGAAGGACATTATGCTATTCATGTTTAGTTGTATGAGATGATTTAAATGGACTAACAACATGGTGAAGATTCATATAGCCGACCTCAACTTGTTTGGTATAGAGTCGTAGTTGTTTGTTGTAGTAGTATTGGAACGGAGGAGAAGAATGAAAAAAGGATGAAAATACTCAGGTCCACTATTCCCTGGAAACATTTGGGTCTGTTCGTAGTTGTTGTTGTAGTAATATTCCCTGGAATATCATCTTTTACAAATTGGACCATCTTTCTTTAATCACAAGAAGCATACTGAATAACAAAGATAACTGGCAACAGAATGGTTTACCCAATCGGAATCTGCATCCATCTCTTTCCAGTAAACATCCAAAGGCAGAGTTGAAGCAGGAACAATCCCTGTTAAATCGAAAAGCATAATGTGATCATGCCACTGGTCAAGTAAAAATAAGTATTCCCCAAAATACATAATTAGAGTGGAATTTTCAGAATAGAGAAACCAAGAATGAAAAAACATTTACACAACCTTTAAAAAATGATTATTTCAGCATATCATGTTAGGTAATTCAAAGTAAGAATAGTCATACATCATTTGACTTGTCATCACAGTAGGATTATTTAAGATTGGTCAGAGGAAAAGAAAGTTCCACCAGATAAACAGATTTCAGAAAAGTCCTTATATAATACTAGTAAAACAGTGTTTTTCTTGAAGGGGCTCGTAGGTATTTTACGACTTCAATTATAATGTAGTAACCATGTATGCAACAGTACAAGGATATATTGTGGCTCCTCAAAGGAAACAAATATTCCGACTTTGTTTCTTGTCTCTATCTTTTTAGCCACCCCCCAGTATTCCCGTGTTACTGAAGATATCTTGCAACGAAACAATGACCTCATCAGGATGTTAAACTTAAAGCTTTCTACGCAAAATTCAACAGCTAAATCACGAACCAGAGAGCAGATGATATAAGTTTTAAAGTTTAAAACAAGAAAATATTACCACAAGTGCGGCCTTCTTCACTTTTCAGGCCATTACTCTTCTGAGTTACCCATATTTGCAGTGGTATTCTCGTTTCCTGCACGGGTTGAGATTCAGAAAATAGTAGAATCCAAAAGCAGAAAAAAACTTATGCACAGTTATTGCATTTTTTTTTGTTGAAATGGTAAGAATATATTATTATCAGCACTCAGGCTTTATTGCACATCTGTATTGATACTAAAACTCAAGCCTTAACATCTTCTGTGAGTGGAATATAGAGGAATACAGATTTATCAAATCCTCTTTTTCTTCGAAAAGAAGAAGAATCAGAGAAAAAATTGTGAGTTGTAGCGCTTTTCTCTATCGTTTTGCTAACGGATACATTATAAGCAATAAAATCTTCGTATTAAATGATTCAATGTATTATTCGTATTTCAGGTGGACAGCGGTTTTCCTTCTCTTTTCCACAATTGAATATGATTTTTCTAGACATTGATTTGCATACAGATGAAACAGAAGCTTAAGATAAGAGCACCTTCTCTTAATTCCATTCTGATTTATTACCAGAGGTAAAAGAAACTGAAAACAAAGTACAATGTCCATCAATGTGAACAGTAACACAGTTGCATTCTTAATTAATTCAAGATTGACAAGCTGCTAAGCAAAAGGTTGTAGAGCTGTCAGAAGCGTGAAAAATGATTAAACAGTAAAGCACATGACCACATAGCACTCTGGAAAAGCTGGGATGACTGAGAAAGACGCAGAAAAGTCAGACATGCAATTACAAGAGCATGCCACAAAAGAGCAGGGTAATGCTCCTGAAAGCTGACAAAATATGAAAATCAAATCAAACAAGGATGATAAGTATAAATGAATGATGAACAGAACAGCAACAAACTAACCAGCTCATCAAGATCTCGTATAGATTCTTCACGGAAGTGACCATTTTCCATTATCAAATATTGTCCAAATAAAATACTTCTAACATAGTAAAGGTAACGAATGGTTGCACCCCTGTATGATGGTGGTATGGTGCTTGGTAGAATTGTTCGTACCATAACTGCAAAATAAAAGCAATCCTTTCTTTATTCATGTCAAAACAAGGAGAATGCCTTAAAAGCAGTACTGTTCGGAGCATTTTTTAAGTTGAACACTTTGTTAAGAGTCCGTCCCACAAATGAACAAAATCTTCAGATCACTGAACATAAAATAGACACTGGTTGCACATAAATACAAGATGCAATCACATCAATTATTGCCTATATAACAGCTAAGTTAGTCCCAGAAAATGAGGCCTGGGCTATTCTCTACCAATCCACTTTGTTTTGCAATACAGGTTTAACCTGTACATCTAAGTAAAAATTGAAGAACCTAACCACCAGAGAGTGGGCAGCAGACAACGTAATTTTGCATGTGAAAAGTGACGGAAAAAGCATGTATCTCATGAAATGCCATGTAAATCCCTAAGTCATTCAACAAAGATTTATACAAATGGCACGGACCTTCTAGGGATAATTTTGGTATTTCCTCAATTAATTCTTCCACTTTGTATCCGTCTTGTCTTTGGTTAGTATGACTTTCTTTTTATAATGATGGTCTGTTCCTGACCAACTTGCGTGCACTTCATCTAATTCACCAAAGTACCTGCTACTTCTGGTTGAATTGTGTGACCACCTCATCTAAACGCTTAGTAAGAGAGAACACATACATAATTAAGTCATCAACACCCTCCCTCACTAGCATGCCTGATATAATTCATGGGTCAAACACGTGAAAATTCACATGTCATCAACACACTCCCTCACATGCGCACATGATTATTTTTCATGGTCAAACAAGTGAAAATTCTTTATGATAATGGGCGGTGAGACTTAAACCCACGACCTCCGATTGCTCTAATGCCATGTTGATTTGTGTGACCACCTCATCGAAAAGTTTAAATTGTCAAAGAAAGTAAATATTTGTTTCCTTGATTATATCTTCAACACCTCCCACCGATTCACATATCAGGTAACTGTGAGCCCGTTTGGATTAGCTTTAAGCACTTGGGCTTAAACGCATTTTTGAAGTGTTGGGGCTGAATATAAAAAGCAGTTACGTGTTTGGTTAGAAATGTTGAAGTTGGAAATAAGTAGTTGATGTGGTTGGTGAAAAAGTGCTGATCAACACTTATTTCTATTAAAATGACTAAAATTCCATTAAAGATGTCAACACCAAAAATGAATTGATTACTGCAAAATTTTAATTCTAAAGATATTGTACTAATTTCAATTTTAGTACAAGTCAATTTAGGTTGCATTTTATATCACGTCACAAAATTTATTAGATAAAATTAATTTTATTGATTAGAGGTTTCTTTTCCCTTTGATCAGATAATTGCTTTTATTAAATGATAAAAAATGGTAATGGAATGGTGAGAAGCCAAAATCAAAAAGTTCAACCAAAAGCTAGGATATGGTGTTCAAATATATTGAAGGATGATGTAAATTACTAAAGATCTTGCGGATAGTCATTCCAAGAAGTTGCAGAAAGCTTCACAAAATGGAGTACTCAATGTGATCGTAATTGCGGCAATGACAGGTATAATCATTATCTATGGTCGGAGAGATAGGTGGAGAAGAAGAAAGATAAGGGATAAAACTGTAATTTATTTGGTAAATCCCCAAGTGCTTTTAAGCCAAAAAGCAATAAGTTGGGATGGACCAACTTATAGTTTTTGGCTTGTTGAGTTATTTTAGTTTAAAAGCACTTGGCTTAAAAGTATTTTTAAGTTTGGCAAACACCAAAACAAGCTCAACGTTTAAGCCAATCCAAACACCCATTATGTCTAACAATGCTCAGACGGATGGAAAGAAATCACCTAGTATTTTTTTTACCTCTGCTATGATTTGAACCTTGGTCTCATGGTCTACTCCACCTTCATTAACGGATTAACCATTAGCCACATCCTTGGGTAGTTAGTATGATTTGAACCTTGGGAAGGAGGGAGTATTAATTTCTTGGGGAAAGGTTGAAACCCAAATGTTGCTACAACTCAACTTATACATAGATTCTTTTACCAGATTTGAGACCCAGATTAGTTAAAGGTAAATCAAAACTGTGAATTTGAAACCATTGAGTTCAAAATTGTAACTACTCCCTACGTCCCAATTTACATGACATTATTTTATTGGTCAATGAGTTCAAGATGTCAATTGACTTGTATATCATCAAAGAAATAACAAAAGAAGATAAGGTGCTATGTTAGCTTGATAGAACAACATTTCATCAAAGTTTAAGTTAATGAGTTTAGTCTAGTCTAGAGATCACACATCTCCAATACGCAGATGATACTCTAGTCTTCTGTGATGCTGAAAAAGACCAACTTAGATTCTTAAGGATCATTTTGGTTTTATTTGAGGGAGTATCAGGATTACACATTAACTGGAGAAAGAGCAATATTTTTCCCATTAATGAAGTTAACAACATGGGGCAACTGACTCAGATATTGGGAGGAGAAGTTGGGTCCCTACCAACTGTTTACCTTGGGATGCCTCTTGGTGCAAGATCCAAATCAAAAGAAATCTGGAATTCAGTCATAGAAAAGTGTGAGAAGAAGTTGTCAAGATGGAAATCGCAGTACCTATCATTGGGGGGTAGGCTAGTTCTAATCAACTCAGTATTAGACTCTCTACCTACTTACATGATGTCTTTGTTCCCAATTCCAGCAGGCATTTTACAGAGATTGGACAAACTCCGAAGAACATTCCTCTGGCAAGGCAATAAGGAGAAAAAGGTCTTCCATTTAGTCAATTGGAAGACGCTAACAATGGATAAAAAACAAGGTGGATTGGGGATAAGGAATTTGAAGAACCAAAGCAAGGCTCTTAGAATTAAATGGTTATGGAAGTACTCTAAAGAACCCCAATCTTTATGGGCCAAAGTGATCAAAGCAAAGTATGGTGAAGAAAACAACTGGGTGTCAAAAAAAGTCAGAACATCATATGGAGTAAGTGTGTGGAAATCCATCAGAGAACTTTGGCCAATAATGAAGAATCACTCCTCCATAAGAGTGAACAACGGAAGGAACACATCATTTTGGAATGATAACTGGTTAGGAATTGGAAGCTTAAAGGAAAGATACCCAGATATGTTCGGTTTAGCACAAAACCAGCATAAGACAGTAGCTGAAATGAGGAGTTGTCAAGGATGGGAAATAGCTCTAAGAAGGCAGCTGAATGACTGGGAGATAATAAGATTAACTGACCTCTACAAAGAGCTGGAAGCATTTACAGGATTACAAGAAGGGTTGGATTCAATATGGTGGAAGAGGCACAACAGAGGGGTTTACCGAGTGAAGGATGCATATAAGATTTTGAATCATGACAATCAACAGGTAGACACATGGCCTTGGAAACATATATGGAAAACAAAGATTCCATACAAGGTAGCTTGCTTCACTTGGCTACTAGCAAAGGAGGCGGTTTTAACCCAGGATAATCTCATAAAAAGGGGAATATCTCTGTGTTCAAGATGTTTTCTGTGTGGGGAAAATGCAGAAACTGTCAACCATTTGTTTCTACATTGCAAGATTACAGACCAACTATGGAAAATCTTTATTAGTCTTAGGGGTATTTCATGGTCAATGCCATACAGGATTAAAGATGTCATTTACAGTTGGGAAGAAGCTGGAGCTGAAGCAACTAGCAAAGATAGATGGAGGACTGTTCCGGCATGTATTTGGTGGACAGTCTGGAGGGAAAGGAACACTAGATGTTTTGAAGACAGAAGCAATCCACTGCAGAAGATCAAACTCAATTGTATTCTTCTATTTTGTTTTTGGTGCAAACAGATGTACACAGAAGATACATTGACAATCATAGACATACTAGGATCCTGCTAGGTTTTAAATTAGAATATCTTCAAATTCTCTCTATGTAAATTTGGTTTTCAGTGCAACCTATGTACTGATTTTTATAATATATACAATAGTTACCAATTCAAAAAAAAAAAGTTAATGAGTTTAAACTCTTGAAATTTGTGAAGGTTTTATAAAATAGTCTTGTTAATAAAATAGCATTAGTGATGTGAAACATTCCAAAATCGAATGAATATCGTGCAACTACATTTTTTTATAAGTCATATCAAGTAACTATACCAAAGGGAGTAAGTCAAAGAGACTTTGATGGTTCGGAGTTGAGTGTGTTCTAAGTTGCACGAACTCTTCGATGTTAGTGCCGTCCCCGTCCCGATACGATATGGGGAAGGGAGCGGGAGTGGGATACGTCCCAGATTCAGTCAACTGACTTCGGACACTTTGACCGGAGTCCATCGACAAATTTGGGAGAAAAATTGAGATTTTGATTTCTCAAAATCAAAAATAAAACAGATTTAGGAGAATGAAAGTATAATGTCCATCTTGGAGAATGAAAGATTGAATTCTACAATATTCATGTAAGTTTTTGATTTCACAGAATATCTCTCAAAATTTACAATATTTTTATAGCTTTATTTTTTATTAGCCGAATCCTCGCACTCGTATCCATATCCGGATCCGCGCTCCCGAAGCTTAAAATTTAGATTTTGCCGAATCCGATACTCGGATCCGTCCCCGTATCGGATACACGCACCCGAGTCCGAGCAACTTAGAGTGTGTTCAAATTGAATTTTCACAAAAATAATCAGGATTTATAAAGACAACTGGAGCATTGCTTTATTTTTAAGACGAACTGAAAGCTATATAGTAGGCAAGATGCTGTATCCGATAGGTAAAAAAAAAAAGAATATGTAAAGTAACATACATATCATGATATCAAAAGAAGGATTTTACAACAAAATCAAATTGTAATATTAAATTAATAAGGAGATAACTAATACAAACTATGGAGAAATACCGAGAATTCCATAATGGTGTTGGTAATACCCAATTTTTGCAATAAACTATAAAGCTAGATGGTAATACGGTATTTTAATTGGGTAACCAAAACCCAGTAATGAAGGAACCTAAGGGTCAATGGGAAAAGGTTAAAATATTATACAAATAATGGTCATCATGCAACATACAGTTCTTCTGGACAGTAACATTTTATACTCATTATCATCATGCAATTCAGCTGTGTGAGTTATTCAAATGATTAATGGTATTTTGCCTTGTGGTTTTCATGTTCTTTCAAGAATTTCTAGTTTTGCTAAAATAAGCCCCGTCGTAGGCTTTTTGCTTGATTTCCCTTCAACTTCGTAGGGTTTCAACATGATTCAAAGTATAGTCCTTATTACACCCCTGTTTCATCATTCAGAGCAAACTAAAAAGCTTAATGAAGTCGTTATCAACTTCAACCAATCGGTTGAGATTTTACTGAATGTTTTTTTAGTTTCCCTGTTTTGCAAGCAAACACTGACTATGAAAACAAAAAGTATATCATTCTTTTTTGTATTGATGTCATGCAACAAAGCCTCATAAATTTTCTTTCTACTGTATTACCTAGTATAGCACCGTGGTTACACCCACTGCTCGCATGTTTATACAAAATTCTTTGCATGTGTCTCCATTAAAAGAAACAACAGATAGCTAAATGAATATCGCTATACTCCCTCTATTCCAGTTTATGTGACACTATTTATTTATTAGCCTGTTCCGGAATAATGACACATTTCTATATCTAGAAACAATTAACTTTGAACTTCCCATTTTACCATAAAAGGAAGTTTTTATTCCTACACAAATCTTATGACATGTTTAAGACCACAAATTTTAATTGGGATGGGGTGATTGAGAAGTTTGAGAAAAGGTTGGCATCATGGAAGATGCAATATTTGTCAATTGGTGGAAGATTAACATTGATTAACAGTGTACTAGACAGCATTCCAACTTACTACATGACACTATTTCCTATTCCCAACAAGGTTCTGAAACAACTGGATAGGATCAGGAGAAACTTCCTATGGGAGGGTAACAACATGGATCACAAGTTTCATCTGATTAAATGGGCTAATGTTGTGCTACCAAAGCACTTGGGAGGACTGGGCATAAAGGATTTGGCTCTACACAACAAATGCTTACTCATGAAATGGTTATGGAGATACACACAAGAGGACCAAACTCTCTGGAAGGAAGTAATCAAGGCAAAACATGGGGTACAAAATCATTGGTGCTCCAAGCTGTCTAGATCCCCAAATGGTGCTGGCCTATGGAAAAGTATATGCAAACTTAAAGATGAATTCTTCCAGAATACCCAACTGGTGGCAGGCAATGGTATGCATATCAGGTTTTGGAAGGATAAGTGGCTGAATAAATACCAATCTGATGGAGGAATTCCCAAGCCTCTTTCTATTAGCATGTGAGCCAAACTCCTCAGGCTCTCAGAATTGGGCAAACAACACTTGGGACATGCTTTTCAGAAGGAACCTACAAGACTGGGAAATTGAAGAAGTGACAGACCTGCTTTCCAGACTAGAAAGCCACATGATGAATGCCCAGGCAGCAGATAAGATAAAGTGGAGCAGTGCTGATGGTAAATACTCAGTGAAAGCAGGCTATACAAACTCATATGCTCCTAATGACATGATTGATGACTGGCCATGGAAGTTGATATGGAAGACTAATCTCCCAACAAAGATCGAATGTTTCAGCTGGGCAGCCCTCTATGAAGCATGCCTCACACAAGACAATCTTAAGAAAAGAGGCTTCCAGATGGTCAATAGATGTTACATGTGCCAACAGAAACTTGAATCTAACAACCATCTATTTTTACACTGCACAATGGCTGCTGACTTATGGAATATGTTTTTGTGTATTTTTGGTATTAACTGGGTAATGCCGCATAACACTAAAGAGGCCTTTGAGTGCTGGTGTAACTGGAGAGTTGGTAAGGCCATCAGGCCAATCTAGAAGATGATTCCTGTGAGTATTTTTTGGTGTATATGGTCAGAAAGGAACAACAGATGTTTTGAAGGTTTATCAACTCCAAATCATTCCCTCAAGGCTAGATGTCTTTTGTATCTTTATAGTTGGCATTACCTTTCCCCCTTAGATTCTCCTGACAACTTTTTGAACTTCGTTAGCTCCTTGGTACTAGAATAGTCTTTTTGTAATTGAGCTAACAGTGTCTTTTTTGCTTCCATAACTTTTGTATTATTATGCATCTTCGTGATGCCAGCAATGAAATCTATTATTACTTCATCAAAAAAAAAAAAAAACAAGTTTTAATATTTTTATAACCACACAAATATTATGATAGTATAAGACCACACATTTCAAAAGTCTTGCTTTCTTTCTTAAATTCCATGTCGAGTCAAACTATGCCATATAAATTGAAACAACGAGAGTATATGATTAGAATGAGTAAGAAACAGGCGGATAACGTCAAGCTAAAGGTTAAACTTACATTGTCTGGAGCTACCGGCAGAGACAATCTGATTTGAAATTAATGCAGGAGTCACATTATCCATGAAAACATACTCACCTGGAAGAGTATAAAACATAATAATGAAAGCATCACGTAAAGCATAACAACATATAAGAACATTAATCTTTAGTAATAACAACAGAGCAAAAACAGAAGATGGTCCGTGGAGCTATTTATTAGTGCATCTGGTTAGAGAGACATAGAAGATTTTTTGGATTTTGTCAGTTCACTAGTCATAGCCTAGTTTTAGTTACCAGAACTGACAAATCTTCACTTTTTGTTTCTTTTGTTCATCCATGTAATGCTTTGCATCTGCTTGATGCCCTTAATGAATTTTATTACTTCATCAAAAGAATAAGAGCAAAAACAAACTTTTCTTTTTCTATAAGATCTATGATGTCATCCTACTAGCTATAAGAAATTTTGTGATAATCGGGAATAAAGCATTTCTCTAATGTAGCATATTGCTTTTAGTCCTTTATAAATTTGGATTGTGCCTTATCAGCTGATGAACTTTACATAATGGCACCCACAATGCCCACATTTATCTTTGAAAAAATCAAAGCACCATGTATGAACTGGTATACCGACCAGATTTTGTGGTCAAACATGGTCTACACAGCCAGACACTTCAAACTACCTTTCCATCTTCAAAAACGTCCCTCCATCAACTGTTGTCCATTGTTTAGAACTTGAGTTGCTTTTTCACCAGATGGAAATCTTGTGTCTTCTAAAGGGGACACCTTCAACATGCGTTTAACCCCCATATCTCTGCAGCCCAGTTACTGATTGCTTTCGTTGAGCCAACACACTTTACAAAGCTCCCTACCAAACAAGTGTTCAGAAATTTTCTTCCTCCTCTGGATGTGCTCGTTTGAAAGCCTAAAACTTGGTTCCTTGACAGCATCCAATTTCTGGAAGTTACCTTCCAGGTTCAGTACTGACCAAGGTAGAGCATCTTCGAAGCCATTCTGTCTTTACCTAGATTCTATTTTTTTTTTTTTTTAAGGTAACATGTTTCTGTATATTTATTAAGACATCAGCATAAAGATTTTGCTGGAAACCAAAATAGGATGTTACATCAGAGTGCCAAAATAGTAAAAAACCTACATGCTTGTTCTTCTTACAAGGAACCTAGTACATCCAAACTATCCTCAGGATCATCTACATATTAAGATTTACACCAAAAGCAAAGAAGAAGAATACAATCCAACATATCCATCTTGATTCTAGTTTTTCTTAAACAACTTTAGCTTTACTTAGTTCTTGCATCAGATTTGCAACGTCAGTGTCCCTTCCAGAACACTTCCATCTTCTACAGTTTCAAGTTTTTCTTTAAACAATTTTAGCTATGCAGGTAATCAAAATCTTGCACCACTTACCATTTCTTCACCAATAACCCCCCTCCCCCCCAATTGTAGCCACATATTCACTGCTTAAATCAAACTAGGAAAGTTCTCCTCCCAATTACTAGAGATATTATCCTATTAATGCAAGACGCAGCTCTGTTAATTTAACCATACCATTGGTAAACCAATAACATCACAACTGGACTTAAATTCTGAGAACTTACGGTTACATGACCATCTCTTCTGCAAATCTAACAGCATAAAAATCCCATGCGATCTAAACAATTTGACATCTTCTGAATTGTATTAGATAATCTTTGTGCATTCCCTATAAACTCCAGACAAGACCCACCCAAAAATCTTCCCCAAGCATTTGAGCAGGTAGGACAAGGCATGAAACTCCATGATGAAAGGATCTCCTCATTTAGGGACATCTCCTTTTGTCCCATAAAATTGAAAAACCCTCAGCTGCCAGTCTTGGGTTCAAAGAAAATCATGACACATGTTCAATTGCCTACCCATCTTGATTTCTTGTAACTGGTAAGCAATACACATACAGCCTCCAATTTTCATCACTGCCTTCACACCATTTTATGGGGATCATTTAGACCCTGCGTATTCTGCGACATTATTTTGGATTGCATGATGATAGTGAGTATAAAATGCCTGATGTATCCCCTCTGCGTTCTCCTTCTATTGCAAGGAACGGGACTTGAGTCCCACATCGGTACTACAAATTGCTGATGTGGGGTTTATATAGCCTTGTGCTCTCCCACCTAAATAGCTAGCTTTTGGGGTATGGTTCTCCCTAGGTTGTATCAATGGTGTTAGAGCCACCCACCATCCTATGTGTCCACCGTCCCTTGGATGGTGACGTCGGTTTTGCAATGTTCGCCCGGGGCTAGAAATGTCTAGCGCACAGCTGTCGAGGACAACGAATGCGGAGCGTGGTGATTTGTTATGGTCTATTGCAAGGAAGGGGACTTGAGTCCCACATCTGTATTATAAATTGTTGATGTGGGGTTTATATAGCCCTGGGCTCTCCCAACTAGCTTTTGGGGTATGGTTCTCCCTAGGTTGTATCACATTGCAATTGGTTCCACTGATACATCTGAAGTATTCGGTAGCACCTTCCACCTGTGATCCCTTCCCGTCTGCTAATTATAACTGGAACATCTGACAACGAAGGTTCCCAAGAACTATGTTCTACTCTCCCTCTATTCTCTTTACACAGTGAAGACAAATCTTCATTTCCTTCATAGCTCCAGTGACACTCATCCTCAAGGGAAATGCTGGCCAAGCTTCTTCCTGTAAAATCTCACGGTTCCATGGCCAACCAGTCTAGCTTTCATTACGACCTTGAGTCTATCTTTCCCTTGATCATGCACGAGGCTTATGTTACTCTGTATTATTGAATCAACCCAGATTGCGGAAATGTTTCTTAAATCAAGATAAATGCTATGCATATTTTGATTTGGTTAAAACAACACTAGAGAGATGGAAATTTTATCTCCCTAACTAACCATTTTATTAATATCCATTCCAATAACAATATACTCCCTCTATCATAATAATGTGGTACACTTTCCTTTTTAGTATGTCCAAAAAGAATGTTACATTTCTATATTTAGAAATAATTATAACTTTGAAATTCATATGTTACCCTTAATGAGATGATTTTTGGCCAAACAGATGTCTTATGTTAGGACACAAGTTTTAAACATCTTCCTTTCTTTCTTAAACGCCGTGTCCAGTCAAACGGTGCCACATAAGTTGATACGGAGGGAGTAGTGTTATATATCAAGCAAGTACCAACAGTTCATATTCAAATTAACTAATACGATTCGCACCAAACTGACTTTTTGATATTAATTACTCATTGCATCCCATTTTATGTGATGTTGTTTGACTGAGCACAAAGTTTAAGAAACAAAGACTTTTGAAACTTGTGGTCTAAAACAAGTTGTAGATATTTGTATGGCTATAAATCATCTCACTAAAGGTAAAATAGAAAGTTTAATGTTAAATTGCTTTTAGATATAGAAATATATCATTCTTTTTGGACAAACTAGAAAGTACATCACATAAATTGTGACAAAGGAAGTAGCTAATTTCTTAACTACAACTTCCTCCGTCCCAATATACGTGGCACTGTTTGACCGTACATGGAGTTTAAGAAAGAATGAATCACTTCTGAAGTTATTGGTCTAAAACAAGTCAGATGCATTTGTGTAGCTATAAATCATCTTAACTAAAATGTAAATTTAAAGTAAATTTTTTTTTTTTGATAATGGTAACAAATTTTATAACTGAGTAAAATATTTACAAGAGATTGTGTGAGCCACAATCACAACCTAAAAGAACTGAGACCGCCTAGCCTATTCTGTTTGATTACATTTCTTCTAGCAAGTCTAGTAATGAATGTACATCCTCCCTATAGCTCTCTTTGCTCCAAAAATGAAATAACAAAAGCAGTTAGAGCTTAATTTTCTGGTAAGAGCTTGGCCTATCATCAAAAATTCTGGCATTCCTTTCCTTCCATATGACTTAAATTATTTTTATGTATAAAAAGGTATCACTCCTTTAGACAAAGAGGAAACTGCATCACATATATTGGGACAGAGAATGAGTAACATTTTCAACTCTTCTCTTAAAAACTACAGTACTAAGTTTGGTCAAACTAAGACAATAAAAATGGAATTTGAGTAAATAAAATTCAGAAAGCACATCAAACCTCTGCGTTGCTTAGAATCAGGAGAAGATTTAGGAGTTGAAAACCATTGGGTATCCAATTTCTCGATCCCTTTAATCTCAAAACTAAGTTTTTCAATAAGCAAAGAGCAAGAAGTAGTCGGATTCTTGATTTCAACAGTAATGGTTACCGGATCACCCGGTCTATACACTTCTCTATCCGGTTCCAGCTTCAGCTGGGGTTGTGGTAGATCCATCGTCGCATTGGATTTTCTGCCAGTGCCGCCGCCGCCGCCACTGCCGATGCCGGCGGTGATGTTAAAGAATGAGAAACCACGGGAAGGTGGTTTATTGGGGGCTGACATTTGGGAAATTAATAGTGGAATTTGTTGAAATGATCAAAAGAGTTGAAAGATAAGAAAGGGGAAAAGGATTTTATTTCTTGAATTAGGATATGAAAATGGAGAATCTATGGAAGTTCAGTGATGGAGAGTGAGAATGTGAGATCTTTGACACCCTGTTTCAGTTTTCTGATGCCAAATTGTTTGTACATTTTTTTATTTTTTGCATTCGAGTGTGATCTCTCGGGCAGGTTGGTTATATGTATTTGTATTGCACTCTTTTATTTTAGGAATTTAATGTTTGAATAGATTTTATTATTTATTGTTATTAAATACTCCCTCCGTTTCAATTTAGCTGAACCTATTTCCTTTTTGGTTCGTGCCAAAAAAATGACTATTTTCCTTATTTGGAAACAATTTACTTTTATGCAATAATTTATAGCCACACAAAATATATGTGACTCATTTTACACCACAAGTTCAAAAGTCTTCTCTCTTTTCTTAAACTCCGTGTCCAGTCAAATGGGTTCACATAAATTGAAATGGATGGAGTAATATTTTTGCTATTAGTTTGGTCGTACTGTACTATAAAAACTACAACAAAAACAAATACAAATGTAATCTCAAAAGGGAGGGTGGTGTGTAAGCAAACATTAGCCCTACCTTATAAAGATAGAGAAACTGTATTTGATAGACTCTTAGACTCAAAGAACAGTTAAAATAAAACAACCAAGTAACAAACAATAGTAACAATATTATAATATGGCAACGGATACGAATGAAATTTAATAATAAAGAACTATAAATAAGAAAATACAAGAATATTCCTAGTACTACTAGAAAAGCCTAGGAGAAACACGTTGCTACCTGTCAACCTTCAACCCTAATCTTCGACCTTCACACATTCCTATCATGGGTCATATCCTCGGTAAGTTGAAGCAATGACATGTCTTGCCGAATTACCTCTCTTCAATACTTCTTTGGCCTACCCCTATCCTTCCTCGGACCCACCATGGTTAACCTATCACACCTCTTGACAGGTGCATCTATATCTCTCCTCTTAACATGCCCGAACCATCTCAGCCTCGATTTCAGCAACTTGTCTTCCACAGAGGTCACTCCTACCTTGTCCCTAATAACTTCATTCATAGTCTTGTCTTTCTTGGATTGGTCTCGGCACGGTATTCATGCAGAACGGTAGGTTGATTTCATACGCGTCTAGACAGCTAAAGGTGCAGGAGAAAAACTATCATGTCCACGACCTTGAGTTAGCAACTATTGTTCATTCCTTGAAAATTTGGTGACACTATTTGCACGGTGTCCCTTGTCAGATCTACACCGATCACTGGAGTCTGCAGCTTCTATTCAAAAAGAAGGATCTCAACTTGCTTCAACTTAGATGGTTAGAGCTGCTTAAGGATTGTGATATCACTATTTTGTACCATCCCAGGAAGGCCAATGTGGTGACCGATGCCCTGAGTCATAGGGTGGAGAGTTTGGGCAGTCTAGAATATCTACCAGCAGCAGAGAGGCCATTGGCATTGGATGTTCAGGCCTTGGCCAACCAGTTTGTTAGATTGGATATTTCTGAGCCAAGTCAAGTTTTGGCTTACGTAGTTTTTCAGTCTTCTCTTTATGATCGTATCTGGGAGCGTCAGTATGATGACCCCCCATCTGCTCGTCCTTAGGGACACGGTGATGCCAAGGAGGTCACTATTGGAGATGACGGTGCATTGAGGATGCAAGACAGGCTATGTGTGCCCAATGTAGATGGTTTGCATGAGTCGATCCTCTAGGAGGCTCATAGTTCGCGGTATTCCATTCATCCAGGTGCCGCGAAGATGTATCAGGACTTGAGACAGCATTATTAGTGGAGGAGAATGAAGAAGGACATAGTGGAGTATGTAGCTCGGTGCCTAAATTGTCAGCAGGAGCATCAACGCCCAGGTGGATTGCTTCAGAAGCTAGAGATTCCGGAGTGGAAATAGGAGCAAATCACTATGGATTTTGTTGTTGGGCTCCCGCAGACTCAGAGAAAGTTCGATGCAGTTTGGGTGATTTTGGATAGATTGACCAAGTCAGCTCATTTCATTCATGTGGTTACTACTTACTCTTCGGAGCAGGTAGCTCAGCTTTACATTCGCGAGATTGTCACGCTTCATGGTGTACCGGTATCCATCATCTCTGACCGGGATACACGGTTTACATCTCAGTTCTGGAGAGCCGTACAACGTGAGTTGGGTACTCGGGTGGAGTTGAGTACAATATTTCACCCTCAGGCTAATGGACAGTCCGATTGCACTATTCAGATATTGAAAGATATGCTTCGTGAGTGTGTGATGGATTTTGGGGGTGCATGGGATCAGTTCTTGCCACTTGCGATGTTTGCCTACAACAACAGTTATCAGTCGAGCATTCAGATGGCACCATATGAGGCTTTGTATGGTAGGCGATGCCGGTCTCCAATGAATTGATTCGAGCCGGGTTGAGGCTAGGCTATTGGGTACAGACTTGGTTCAGGATGCTTTGGAAAAGGTTAAGGTGATTCAGGATCAACTTTGTACAGCCCAGTCCAGTCAGAAGAGTTATGTGAATCGGAAGGTTTGCAGTGTTGCATTCATGGTTGGGGAGTGGGTCTTGCTCCGGGTTTCGCCCATGAAGGGTGTTATGAGGTTCAGGAAGAAGGGCAAGCTGAACCCAAGATTTATTGGCCCATTCGAGGTGTTGCGGCAAGTTGGGGAGGTTGCTTTTGAGCTTGCCTTGCTTCCCAGCCTATCAGAAGTTTATTCAGTATTCCATGTTTCCATGCTTCGAAAGTATCACGGTGATCCATCACATATGTTAAATTTCAGCTCAATCCAGTTGGACAAGGATTTGTCTTATGTTGAGGAGTTAGTGGCCATTTTGGACGACAGGTTCGAAAGTTGAGGTCAAAGAACACTGCTTCAGTGAAGGTTCAGTGGAGGGTTCATCCGGTTGAGGAGGCAACTTGGGAGTCCGAGTATGATATGCGCAACCGTTATCCTCATCTTTTCAGCACTTCAGGTATGTCTCTATGCTCGTTAGAGGACGAACGATTATTTTAAGGGGGATGCAACGACTCGGCCAGTCTTTTTGAGAGTATGAGCTCTGATCCCCTATTTATTGTCCCCTCTGTTTTATTTTATGCTTACTTGATTTGCTGAGGTGTTTGGTGTGGGGTTCGAGGGAGTTTTGGAGTGAAATGGGACACATAGTCCCTAAGTGTGAAGTTTGAATTGTAAGAGTTGACTATAGTTTGACCTGTGTGAAGATGACTCTGGAATGGAGTTTTGTTGGTCCCAATAGCTTTGTATGGTTATTTTGGTCTTAGGAGCGCGTTCAGATGTTGATTTGGAGGTCCCTAGGCCATTTCGGCTTTATTTAGCGAAAGTTGGAAATTTTAGAATTTTTGGAAAGTTTGACCAGGAGTGGACTTTTCGATCTCGGGGTTGGATTCCGATTCCGGAAGTTTAAGCAGGTCTATAATGTCAAATGTAACTTGTGTGAAAATTTGGAGTCAATCGGACGTGACTCCAAATTTGATAGGTTTGATAGGTTTCAGCATCGTTTGTAGAAGTTGGAATTTCTTAGTTTCAATAGGCTTGAATTGATGTGCGATTTGTGTTTGTGTTGTTGTTTGATGTGATTTGAGAGCACGACTAAGTATGTATGATGTTTTAGGACTTGTTGGTATATTTGGTTGAGGTCCCGAGGGCCTCGAGTGCGATTTGAATTATGTTCGGAATTTTTGGGACTTGTTTAATTGCAGAAAATCACTGATGCTTCTAATGTTGGTTTCCTTCATCGCATTTGCGAGAGAGGTCTCGCGTTCGCGAAGGGTATCTGGGAGGTATGTGAAGTTTGTTCTTCGCATTCGTGAAGAGACGCGTTCACGAAAGTGTAGGAAGTTTTTCACCGCATTCGCATATAAGGAGTCGCATTCGCATAGGCCTAGGCTCAGTATGCATCACGTTCGCGTAGAGGAGCTCGCGTTCGCGAAGAGCAATCTGGCAGCTGAGAATTTTTGTGCTTCGCGAATGTGGGGCACATTCCTCGTTCGTGAAGAAGAGAAGACCTGGGCAGCAGATTAAAGTTCAAACCGAGGGTTTATCTCCCATTTTCAATTTTGGAACCTAGAGAGCTCGAATTTAGGCGATTCTTTGAGAGATTATCACGTGGGTGTTTGGGGTAAGTGTTCTTACCTAGTTTTAGTTAATTTCCATCATTATGCTTTTGATTTCATCATTAAATTAGTGATTTGGGGTAGAAAACTGGGAAAAATTGAGAAAAGCTCTTAGGCCGAATTTTGAGGTTTTGATCGAGATTTTGATATCGGATTTGAATAATTTTGATATGGGTGAATTCGTGGTTGAACGGGTGTTCGGATTTTGTAACTTTTTCCTAATTTCCGAAACGTGGTCCCAAGTGGAAATTTTGGGGAGTTTTCTAAATTCTTGTTAAAATCATAATTTCTTTAATTAGATTAGTTTCTTATAGTTATATTTATATTGTGTAATTGATTTTGACTAGATTTGAGCCATTCGGAGTGGGAAAGTCGAGGAAAGGCATTCTTATTGACTGATTGAGCTTGGTTTGAGGTAAGTAACTTGTCTAACCTTGTGTGGGGAAAATTCCCCTTAAGTTTTGGTATTGTTATGGTATTTGAAATACAAGAAGGTCGTGCACGTGAGGTGACGAGTGCGTACTCGAGTTAAATGTTGAAAAATCCGGTTCTTGATGAGTTGTCTCCTTTTAATTCCTTAATTTAGTTGCCTTAGCATGTGTAGTTATCATGTTTAGCCTAATATCGCATGTCTACATATCTTAATTCTTACTTGCAATATGTGCAACATGCTTAGTTGAATTTTTGTTTTCTTGATTTTGTATTTAGCCTCTTATTGTACGATTCCTTGCTATAAATTCGTTGTTCCACCGATTACGAGTTATGTATTTATTTTGAGACTACGAGGCGGTACCTCGGGAGCTCTCCTGTTGTGTAATTACTTTTGGGACTACAAGGCGGTACCTCGGTAGCGCCCCTGTTGTTTACCTCTATTTGCAATGTTGTTATTTCATGTAATTTCTCATTATTAAATTCTCAGTCTTTTATTTTAATATTATATCTTCTGCCATGTTTCCTTTTTAATCTAGTAGGTCCCTGACATGATCTCGTCACTACTCTACCGAGTATAGGCTTAGCACTTGTTGGGTACCGTTGTG